ATTGAACGTCTGTTACATAAAACTAAATGTGCATCATGAGTGTTATGAGGACTCTGTGAAATAATGAAGTTCTTCTACAGCGTCTGACATGCAGTGTCAGCCCCTCACTAAATGTTTTTTTCTTCTCCATTTTCTTGCCAGGATAGAGAACACACACAAGGGCTCAAGACAGAAGCTCTGTTCAGGAGTAAGAATTCTCTGCAACTATCTTGATTATAAATAGAGTAGTAACCAATGAAGGAGGAGTAACCAGGCGCTGGGAAACCAATGCCTCTACAGGAAACGGGGCAGTAGTACATACTGTGAACTCCATCTTACAACCGAGGAAACAGACTTGGCGAAGGTAAACAACTTATGTGGCCTAAAAGTCCTCATCATTGGAGATTTAACCCTAGGGGGCTGTCTGATTCTGATGTTTATATGTCTTTTTCATTGTGCCCTTCAGCAGGGGCACCAGGCAATGTCCCAGAAGAAACATGTTTTATTTATTTATTTAAAGATTTATTTATTTATTTGAGAGAGAGATGAGAGAGAGAGCAAGAACAAGTGGGGGGAGGGGCAGAGGGAGAGAATCCCAAGCAGATTCTCTATTGAGCAAGGAGCCCGATGGGGGGCTCTATCTCAGGACCCATGAGATCATGACCTGAGCCGAAATCAAGAGTCAGATGCTTAACCGACTGACCACCTAGAAACCCCTGGAAGAAACATTTTATAATTTGACTTGCATTGTATATTTTAGGTTTCTGTAGGACTTTCATTTTCCAAGAAATATAGGGGGGAAAAGATAGGAAACCTGTGTATTCTTCCTGTTATGTCTCTTCTGAGAGTTTGCAGGCACAGAGGGAAAAATGCTAGTTTCCAAAGGCTGAAGGCACAAACGAGTTAGATGCAGACAGTTTTTGCCAGGCCATGGGTCCTTATAGTTGTGCAAGTGGCCAAGGACCTGAAGATAATGCTCAAGTGATTCCCTGCAAAGTGTACTGCAGCATCTTGAGATGGATCACTGAGGCCTTTGGGCTCAAAATCAGAGCTCTTTTTTCAGCAGCTATTTGATTAAACTTGGGTAAGTTGCTTTATTTTGCTCAAGTGTGAAGTGGATATGATGACCTAATTCATAAAGTTACTATAAAGAGCAAACAAATGAATCTGATGAAAATGCTCAGTCCAGTGGCTAGCATATAGTAGGTACTCAGTAAACCTTGGCATTTATTAGTATTATTTTTAGCTTTCACTTTTCTCATCGACCATAAGTAGAAACGGGTTTACTATCAGAAAAATATAACCATGTAATCAATATGCAGAAGAAAATCACAATTATGTGTCCACATGTTTATGGAAAAAGAAAGCTGTTGAAAACTAAGCATCTCAGCTGTTTCTGAGTTTTCTCATTAACATTTGTTTGCTCTTTTTGATTCCTTTTGTTTTCTGCTTGCAGGGAAGTGGTAGCAGGTGCCAAAGTTTAAGGGAAAATATGGGAGAAAAATTTAAACGGGATTATAAATATTTATTCATTAACTCTTTTTCTTCCTGCAAATTCTGTGGGGGTGTGAATGATAAGAATATAACTCAGGAAACCAATCATCTTATGCAGATGAGTCCCCTGTTGGGCCTCTAGAAGGCTAGGCTGAGGCTGGCCAGCACAGGCAGATGAAGAGCTTCCCAAGAGGACCTATCATGTTCTAGTTTTTTAACAAACTGGGCTAGGCAAAGAGTAACTACTGGTCCCGGTTTGCCTGAGACTGTTTTTAGCACTGAAAGTGCCACATCCCAGAAAAACCCTCAGCCTGGAAAAACCAAAATGTTTGGTCACTCTAGCGATAATTAGATTAAGCAGCAGGTAAAATACCAGACCTAACTATGCAAATCTGCAAGAAGGTCAGCTGACATCCCCCAGCCTCTACCTTGTGCCTCTGTTCAAGTGCTAAAGGAACCAGCGGCCAATCACTCAGCAGTCAAACCTACCACCTGGTCAGTCAGAGAAAAATGACAAAAGGGCAGTAATTGTTTCTCTTCTGCTGACTGTTACTTCCTGTCCATTATTTGTTTGTTTATATGCAGAATGTATTTATGGGTATGTTTTTCTTTCTGCAAGCTGAATGGCTGACCTGAGCTGGTAGCAATGGAAGCAGCAAGGCAGGACAACTCTGAACAAAGGCTTAATTGCTGTGATTACCCAGTGTGGCAAGTACAAAGAATGCATAATACATTCAAAGTGACTGTCTACATGGATCCAGTAAATGAGATAACGGATAAAAAAAAACAAAACAAAACTTGTTTGTTCTAGAAAATACAATCTGATATATTGGAGAGAGCCTAGAAAAAGAGGAAGATTTTTTGTAGCCACTTTCTTGAGCACTTCAGAAGTGCCATGCGTTTATGTATATTCTCATTAAATCTTCCAACAATTTGTAAGATAGTGTAGACATGAAAAACACTGAGGCAGTTACAAGTTTGTGGAAGGAGAATGTGGTTTTCTGTTTAAGCTATTCTAAAAACTAGGCTGATCACCTCGGGTATGCCTTTTAGCCACAGTATACTTCTTTATGTTTACCTGTAAAATAGGTCCATCTTACTTCCCAGGGTAAGTTTTAGGATTAGTAAAGAGAATAAACCTGAAATTACTTTGTAAAATTCTATCCAGATATAATCATGTCTCCACTACACACACACTGACAGGAACACACAGAGACAGAACTCGTACCCTTGGGGAATTTATTTCATCTTTCCGACAAGAGCTAACCAAGAAATGATTTGTGAATGGCGACCATGACTTTAGCCTTTGTCTGAGTTCTGTCACTCCCTCTTCAAACCACACCAAAGAAACACGAAATGTCGATACAAAGTGCTTCCTTCCAGATGCAGCTCCCCTCCATGTCCTTTTTGATTAGAATTCTCCATCCTGGTTCTAAGCTGCGGTTTCATGCCTATACATCCTGATTTCCGACCATTTGCCTTTCTATTGGAAATATGTACACAACTAAAACACTTTTGCTTAGAATACTGATTAAAATCCAAGTTTCCATAAGTAGGATGTGTTATCTAACAAAGAGAAATGGTTACAGTTATAATTTGCATCTTGTTATCGTGTAGGGTTCTATTCATCATCTTTTCAACTTTGCACATTTTGTAACGATTCTCCTTTTTACAATGGGCAAACAGCCTGTTTTAACATTTGATAATGCCTCATTTCTGTCATGTATGATGAAGTTTTGTATATCAGAGCAAACCCAAGGCTGGTAACTTCTAGGTAATCTGGCATTTGCAGAAAGACTTCGATTCTTGATTTTAAAAGTTTTTCATTTAAAGCAAACTGAAATTCTATTTGATATAGAACTATACCAGCAAGTATGATATGCATGTCTATTCAAAAGAAAAAGAATCTGCAAAATCCTAACTTATACCAAATATAAAAGTATTAGTTCTTAAAATCTACTCACTTTTTTCTTTTTTTATTATGTAAAATCTACTCACTTTCAAAAAGACCATCTGTAGTTCCCAGCAGCCCTTTAGCAATAGAAGTAGTATTTTTGCCAATGGCAAAACAAACCCAAATATCAAAGGTTTGCTGATGTTGAAAACTAAGATCCCAAGAGGTCTGAGGAACTTTGAGTTAGACAAACATATACTCTTATTTTTTTAAGGCTTGAGGTATACATCAAAAAATCACAAGGCTATCTTATTCCAGTAGCTTTCTAATGTCTTTAGTGCATTTATTAAAAGATATAAGTGAAAGCCAAACTGCTCTGAAGGAAACCATTGGAAGACAGCCACTGTTTCTTCACAGGTGTTTACCAAATCAGAGACGGCTTGGAAGAGCACAGGAATACACATATGTTAACCACAGATTTCCCCTATGTATAGATTGGGCTGTTCCCTTGGATTTGGTTCCACTGAGCTCCACACGCACCCCCTCCATTGCCCCCCCGACCCCCGCCCCCTGCCCCAGCCACCTACCAAGTCCTCATCATTTAGGATCTTGTATCAGAGAATTACAGACTCTTGTTATTGAAAGGGACCTTAGAAGTCATCAGGTTCAATTTCCTTTTCTGAACTTCAATTCCTTCCACAGCCACATGGTCAAGTGACTGGTAACTAAGGGCCTTCCATGATTAAGAATTCATCATCTTGAGGGCAGCCTAGTTCTTTGGATGGTTAGCACATCATGCTGATTGTCATTTGTTCTGTTCTAGATTCCTTTTTTCATCACTTTCCTCTTTACTATCCTTCCTTCCTTCCTTCCTTCCCTCCTTCTTTCCTTCCTTCTTTCCTTCCCCAAAATAATAACTAAGCACCCACCATGTGTCAAGTACTATGTGCTAAAATCTGGGAAAACATATCTAGGGTTAGAAGTTAGGGTAGGGTTTCTGCTATCAAGTATCTAAACCTCTGTGGAGATAACAGGAATACAATACTGTGATGTGTATGTGTTGGCACAGAGAAGAAATGAGATGCAATGGGAAAATGGAAACAGGATCCTTAATACATTCCTACATGAAGTTATGACTCAAACAAGAACTTGATTAATAAATAGGGGTTATCCAAACAATGATGTGTGGAAATACGGCAAACATTTCTTATTTGGTGTATTGCCAGAACCCATTCCTTCTTCTAATATGAAACATTTTCCTTTAGAAAATGGTCGCTCCACCTTTGTGATCAATCTTAGCGAAAAGTCCAGGTGTCCTGACCTCATCAATGGATGGGAGAGAATATAAGCAAGACCAACTGCAATCTTTCTCTAGGGATTTTGAATCTTAAGTAGAGAAACAAAAAGAAATCATATGGAGTAGATATTTTAACTAAAAACATTTAATAAAATATAATTCACATACTTGGATAAGTTTATTATATACAATGTGTTGATTCATTTATATATTGAAATATAATTACCACTGTAGTGTTACCTAGTATATCTATCCTATCACATAATTAGCATCTCTTTTTTTGTGGTGAAAACATTTAAGATCTAGTCTCTTAGCAACTTTGAATATATAATATAGAGAAATACAGAACACTTCACAAATCTGCATGCCACCCTTGCCTAGGGGCCATGTTAATCTTCTCTGTATTGTTCTAAATTTAGTAATTTTATTATTAAAATTTAGTAATATGGAAGTGAGCACTGGAGTAGATTTTTTATGTGACAGCTGAATAAGATGGCCCACGGTTTCCTGCTGCTCAGACTTGCAGCACTGCTCTGGTTCCTCTATGCCTGTGCTGTGAGCTACCTTTAGATTAAGAAAATTTTAATTTTTTAATTAAAAGAAAATTTTAATTTTCTTAAGCTAGCAAGAGGCAGCATCAGTTGTTAATCAAATAAGTCTAACTGAAACAAGAAGTTTGTGCTACACAGAAGGTACAGTATATGCAAATGCCTGGAAGCATGAAAGAACCTGAAAGCTTAACTCAAGATGAGGTTTAAGGTTTAAGGAAAGAGGCAAGGATGGAGGGATGGGATTCATTGGGATTCATTGGGAAACAAAGATCTTATGTAAACTCCTCAACAGCTTTCAAGTCAAGACATAATAGAATTTTATTCCTGACTCTAATCCCTATCTCGATGTTCATAGAAGAGAACACTAATGTCCAAAGATCATAAACTACTCTTTCAAATATGTTTGTGTTTTCTGGTTCTGGAGTTGGGCCTAAAATTTGAGTAATAGAAGATTAGACCCATGCTACCATGATAGCTTATCTCCCCTTTTGATGAAAATAAAAATCAACCTCTATCTATCTATCTATACACATATAGTGTCAACACACGATTAATGCTCAGTGAGAATAGTTCAATGTCAGAAAAATTTAGTGATACAGTTCATTGCATCTCAATAGATCTAGAAAAAATTGAAAATATTAAACACTTCTATCTGTTTAAATATAAAATATTTCTAGAAATACTGAGTAGGGAATTTCCTTTACTTACTAATGGCTTCTTACTCATAAAAAACAGAAAATATCACACTTAAAAATGAAAGCATAGGCCATTCTCTTTAAGGTTAGAGACATGATACATTTCCATCTATCACTAATGTAGTTCACTGTGCACTATTAACAGTGTACATTGGATTAATAAAAGCAAAAGAAATAAGAAATTTAAAGATTGGAAAGGAAGAGTCAAAAGTATAATTATATGATAGCATAATGTATGTATATTATAAAAAAGAATCAGTAGAAAAAAAAGAATCAGCAGACAATTATTGGAACTAATTAGAGAATGTAAACAAAATTTCTGGCTCTGCATTCAATATATGCAATCAAGAGTATCCCTTTATACTAACAGCCAACCATGAAATGCAAAAGAAAATGAGACCGCTTATAACATTACCAAAAATATTCTAAAGCATCTAGGAATTAAACTAATAAAGAAGAGACAATCACTTTAAGAAGATGAAAAAAACATAAAGTTCTAATAAAAGAATTAAAAGAAGACCTAAACATATAAGCACTCTTACTATATGAATGGCTATAACTATTTAACCTTGTGAAGAGGTCACATCACCCTCCCCCAATTTAATCTATTAATTAGATGTAATTTTGTTCAAAATTCCGGTGGGGTTTTGGGAGGACTGTGTAAAAATGTCTTAAAAGTATAGCAAAAGCTAGGAATATATAGAAAAATAAGAACATAGTTAGAGATTCACCTTACTGTGTGTTAAGAAATATTATAGAACACTTCTGCTTCCAAACAAGTTGGAATAAAAGGAACTGGCTTTATTCTCCTGTCTCAAACAACTGAAAAAAAGAGAAACAAAATATGAAACAAGGGTCTTCATTAAGTAGTACAGGACCAGGATCTCTGGGAGTTGAAAAGCAAAGTGAGCCCTGTGGTTACCTGGAGAGAACTTCTAGACCACTGCACTACAGACAAGAAGCTAGGCGGAACCTGGGCAGAGGAGCCAAAGCTGGAGTTCTGGGCTGCCAAAGTGGCTAGCATTGTTAGTGCACACTCCTGGAGAAGCAACGGCTGCCCAGAGAGAGCACCGTGGATCTGCAGAGGGTCTCCCAGAGTCTTCAGCTGAGTTTTGATTAAACAAACAAACCAACATGCCTGGAAGGAACTTACATGTGGCTGAGGAAGATCTGAGCATCCTGAGGCTTAGTAGTAATGGATTAGCCATGGATGAACCACCATCCTGGTGCTCACACAAAGGCAAGAACAGACTTCACACATGAGTGAGTCAATAACTGATTGTTTAGTAAAATACATGAGGAAAAATGAAGTTGGAACCATTTCTTAAACTATACATGACACTACATTTCAAATGGATTCAAAGTAATATAAGGTTCATGAAAATACCTGATGGTCTTTACGGTGATGGGGTTCGGAAGGAATTCTTAAGCAAAATTTGTAAAAGACAAAAAACAAAGAAAACTCCCCCCAAAACAAAACAAAAACAAAAAAACACAAACAAAACAAAAAAAACAAAACTCACAAAGGTTTAAAGAAAAGATTTCTGGACTTGGTTAAAAGTAAAGTTTCCTATTGAATAAAGAACATCATAAACCAACAAGAGACTGGCAAAAATATTTCAATGAACTAAATTTAGTAAAAATAATACTTAGAAAATAAAGCACCTCTTATGAATCAAGACAAAAAATGGCTAGTAAATGTAAGTTTGAGATTTTCAGTAACAGTAACAGTAAAATAAATTCGTATTTTTATAATACACAGTAAGAGTTTATTTTTTTTAATTTTAAATGTATTTAAGTAATAAATATATACTTTTAAAAAATCATAAAATTACAAAAATATATTTATAGGGAAAAGTCCTCAGCTCCCTCCATTCCCACAGATACCCAGTTCCCCTGCCTCTATCTCCTTAGAAGGGTAGTAGTTAATTTCTTACATCTCCCTCCAGAAACATTGTATGCATTATAGAAGCAAATGCAAATATTGTTTCCCCTAATTTTAGTTTAATAATACCTCTTGGAAATTGTTCCATATCAGTACTGGTAAGGTTTTCTTATCTTGTGCTTAAAAACTAGTTTTAGATACTACTTGCTGAGATGGTCACAGAACAATCAAATCTTTTTCAGAACTTTATTTTTTTGTCAATAAAAAACTAATTAAATTATGGTATATTATGTAACAAAATGCTATAAATCTGTTAAAAAGAGAATAAGGATTTTTTTCCTTATAGAAGCTCACCCTTGCTTAGGAAGTAGCTTAAAGTATTAAGGATGAGTGTTGACCTCTATCTTTGACACCATTCAGTGTTTTATTGTCAGATATAATGTGGCACCAAAATATAAACTTCATAAGGGCAGGGTTATTTTCCTATTTTGTTCCTAAAATATACCCCAACAACTTGAACATGGCCTGGTCAATGATAGGTTCTCAATAAATATTTTAAAATAAGTATCTTGATACTGATGGCAATTCACAATGTACAAGTGTATTTGTAGGATGAATTGCTACAACTAGAATGTCTGGGTCAAAGATACATAACACTGAAATTTTGGAAGGTATTGCCAAAGGGCTCCCATATAGGTCTTACTAGCTTAATTACCACCAACAAAATAGGAGACTATTCTTCCTGCACAGATCTGTGAACAGAGTGTTTTAAAAGTGTAGTAGTTTTTGTGACTCTGATAGTGTATGAGTGTAAATAACTATGAGCTAAACTTTATAGTCCTAAAATGAGTAAGAATTAGAAAATTGTATGATATGAACGTGAGGGAAAGCCTCTTACATTCTGCTAGGAAAAGTGTAATCTTTTACAAGACCAAAATTGCATAACTTTTTAAAACCAAGTGTGTATTACCCTAAGACAACTATTTGCCATGCCAGCAATTGTTTTTCAAATAGTATGTGATTCAATCCTGGTCAATAAGGCCTGAAAGAAAATCTTCTGAGAAGTACCTAGAATTAATTTGCTTTCTTTACGAAGGGACTTACAGAAAGGATATTAAACTTCTGTCAGTGGCTGGCCTGTCTTGAAATGATTCTTGGGCACAAATTGTGACATCATCAGGGCGTTACCTGGTTTGGCAGAGCAAAAATGTGGACTGGCCTTTGAGGACATGGGTGAGACTTGGATCTATCCTATATCCAGACATTGGTTAAAGTATTGCAGTCGCTGTTTTTTTCACTTCTGTGGTCAAAAACATCCCAGAATGATAGAGGACTCATTTAGTATATGTCCATTTTGTAGTTGTTCAAGCTGAGGTCCTTTTCTGGGATATACCTAAGTTTACACAGTTGGAACTAAGTCTAGAAACAAATAGGTTAGCTGAATATCAGGTACGTTTGCTAGCTGAATAAGCGGAAATAGATATTCCCCAGACATGACTCTCAAATTCTGAATCTAGCCATAATGTTTTTATTGTTTCCATATTTGGTCCACCATGATGAATAAAATCTAGAAGATGACCTAGCTGAGGGGATGGAGTGAGTGCAAATTGTCTAGATAGAACTTTTCTGTTCAGTGAAGGTAAAAGGATTCTCTCAATGACTGCAGAGCTGTGGAAAGGCGCAGCTGTTTTACATCTGGGATTACTTGGGGCACATGATATACAAACTACAAAATGCTGTACTCTGTGGAGAAACAGCTCTACTGTTAAGTTTTTGCCCTTGAGAATGAAGGAAGATCTTGTAAACTTCCTAAACCTGAGTGTTCTCCCAGTGACTTGGGAGATTTAGAGCAAAACAGATATTCTCTAGGTTTTGGGGGGTCAGGTGATTTTTACTACATATACATATGTGTGTGTGTGTGTGTGTGTGTGTATTTCCCCCTAATTTTATACATGGAACATTTATTATTTTTTGTAATCATAAAGAAACTGTAAGTATTACTGAAAATAATTAGCAAAGCTTTTCCCAGCACAGGTGATCTGTGCTCCCATTTTGGTGGCCCTGTGTGTTCAGACTTGATAAGGAAATTGTTTCTCCAAAGGGCACTTTCATTTATACGTTGCATGGATCTATGTGAAAGGCAAGAGGTTGCCATTTAACACAAGTCTGTTTATACACAGACTTAGCAGCCCAGAGCCATGAACAATTGAAAAAAAATGTAAAATATTTCTATGCTAAGACATATTTTATAATTACTTCAGTATGTACAATGATTTATCTTTTCAAAAGCAATTTTACATCTATTAACTTGTA